ATTAATGCTTCTTTTATCATTTTACAAAATATCATTGCATATTTCCACATATTTCATAATATTTCCACAATGTCTCTAATTTTTACAATATTTCCCCTTGACATTTCTGACATATGTCCTATATTTTGGTAAGCGACATTTCCATCGACATCGACATTTTAAACCTTGATGGAGACTCACTATCTAAAATTGACGAGAAAATACACTTTATGAGAAAACAAGAGGTGAAAACTGCATCACTCCATCAGAATTTAGGAATTAACATCTAAATCAACAAGGCACGAGTAGTTTCAATCACATGGTGGTTCTTCCTCTCAGCCATGCTGAGGGGTATGTAAACAGGAGTTTTGATGTATAATACCATGAAAGTTAAGTAATATTGGAAACTATTATGAAAATGTTCTTTGGCATTATTAAATCGAAACATTTCAATGCATAGATAGAAAAATAGAGAAATTTTGAGTAGTCCTTCATTAAGTAAATGTAAATCCATGTCATTCTTGAATAGTCATTAATAAATGTTACAAAATATTTGAATCCATTTTAACATGATACATGACTTGGACCCCAAACATTTGAGTGAACTAAAGAAAAAAGTACTTGAGACTCTCTTATCTTCTCTGGGAATAAAAGACATTCTATGATGTTTGCTTAATTGACATAACTAACAATCCAACTGAGTTACAGACTATAAGGTAGGGACTAACTTCTTCAAAATATGTAGGAAAGGGTGACTAAAATGACAATACCACTAATATGGTTTAAGAGAAGAATGAAGAGCCTTCTGTGGACCATGGTCATCTAGGTAGTATAATTCTCCAGCTTCATGACCACCATCAATTGTCTTCCCTGTCTTAAGATCCTAAAAGAAACAATAAGAAGGATAAAGGTTACTGAACAATAAGGGGCTTGAGTAAGCTTACTTACAAATAATAGGTTGAAGGGAAACTTGGGTACATAAAAAATAGTGTAATCGATTTATCAAAAGAAAAAAAAAATCAAAGTGTAAACTAGGCCAAAACCAAGAGACACATTACTAGTACTAGTAATAGAGAAAGAAGAGCCATCGGCTAAAGTGATAGTTTGTGATGTAGGAGGAGACAAAGATACAAACATATTTGAGGAGCTAGTCATATGGTTTAAGGCTCCATAATCAATTACCTAGGGTGAAGGTGTATAACTAGAAACAAGGCAGACTATACCTGACATCACAAAGGGCTTTGTTCAGCAGATTTAATAATGCAGTCAAACAGGTTGGTTTCAAATAGTGTCAGAATGATCATACTTTCTTTGTTAAGAGACAAGGGGAACATGTGGCTATGCTTATAGTTTATGTGGATGACATTGTCATTATGAGGAATTGGGAGTTAGAGATACAAAACTAAAGAAATTCTTGGGGGCTCAGTTTGATTGTTATACTTATTTATGACCAGGCCCAACATTGTTTATGCTGTTGGGGTTTGAGCCAGTATATGCATGCCCCTAGTACCACTCATCTTGCCACTGCAGAGCATGTTCTGAAGTATTTAAAACAATATCCTGGTAAAGGTATTCTCTTTTCAAAGCATGGCCACTTGAAGGTAGAGAGCTTCACTAATGTTGATTGGGCCGACTTAGTTGATGATAGGAGATCTATCACAGGTTATTGCACCTTCATTGGGGGGAGTTTGGTAACTTGGAGAAGTAAGAAACAAACAATGGTTGCTAGGTTAAGTGTGGAAGCAGAATATAGGGCCTTGGCACATGGAGTTGCAGAAATATTGTGGTGGAAGAATATGTTAAAGGAGTTGGGAGTTGAAGTTCATAGCCCAATGTCATTGTATTGTGACAACAAGGCAGCAATCAATATAGCCCACAATCCTGTGATGCATGAAAGAACAAAGCATATCGAAGTTGACAAACATTTCATTCATGAGAAACTTGAAACTGGTGAAGTCTACATTCCTTATGTAAATTCTATGGATCAGTTGGGTGACATCTTCACCAAGGTTGTTTCAGGTACCCGACATATGGAAATTTGTACCAAGCTGGGAATGATAGATATATACAACCCAACTTGAGGGGGAGTGTTGTTAGGACTGTTAATGGGTTGTTAGTGGGCTTACTTTAATTTCTTTTCTGTTAAGTTGTAAGTTGTAATCAGGGGTATTCTTGTAATATCCCCTTTATTTTGAACACCCTAATATATAAGGCAAGAGGGGATCTGCCCCTAACATTTTTTGACAAATCTTCTTCTCTTTTTTTTATTCTATTTCTCTCTTCTCTTCTTCCTCTTCCATTCCAGAAAAACTACCTTGACCAGAGGATTCCATACAAATGTGCGAGGAAAGTGGCTACCTCCCAGTGTACTTAGATGTCTAGCAAAAGATTTAACCAAGAAAATACATGATCTCTCACACTTCTAGACATATTGGTCAGCACTAATGCCCGGTTCGGTTAATGGCTTTGAAGCTTCACCAAGGGCTTGCCACTTTGTCAAACTCCCTTTGAAATATTTTCTTCATTAGCTCAAAATGTGGCTTGTGCCAATTTCTTATGAAAAATCAAATATAGAAGCTACTCCTGGCTTTCTCCATTACTGTTACCTTATATGGTGAAATCAACCTCTTGGTCATCTTTTCTTTTAATTCTGTTATAACAAATATACCAACCAGATGTCACCCTTGAGATCTTATTATCCCTAACTATTATCTTTAAATATCATTCTTTTCGATTTGATATTATGATGTTCAGAAAAGAAAATCTTTCAAAGTTAGTTATTTTATCTGAAAAGAGCTATGAAAATGTCTGCAACTGAAAGATATATTTCTTGCAATAATAAAATGCTATAGAGTTTGATGTGGCATTATATTCATATTCTGGCAAGATGAATTGCATCTTTGGATTTTTTTTCCTCTTTCATATTAGGCCCTTATTCAAGACTTCAATTGTGCACTTCAGGAGAATATCCTTCTTCAGGTAAAGTTTGATTCCTCTCTCTCTAGTAACTGTCTCAAATATTTAGTTTCTATATTTGTTATCTACCCCTTTGTGCTTGTTATAATCTCCATATAAAATGATTTTTGTTTTTTGTAATTTTCTTCTAACTTCAAGACAATAAGAATTTAGCATGTCTCGTGCCTTGTTAAGATTGAGACCACATTTGGGAGTGCTTTTTGGTCTAAATGGGCTTATGAATAAGCTACTTTTTAAAATGGGTTTATTTTTTTTGAAAAAAAAGCACTTTTTTAGTGTTTGTCTGGTCACCAGCTTTTTTGTTCAAAATAGCTTCTTGAAAACATGAAAAGCTAAGTGGAGTTTTTTCTGCTTTTTCAAATGGTATTTTTTGATGCAAAAAACCCATTGTGTCACCAAACGGTTTTTTAACTGGCTTTTGGTTTCTCCAACATGAAAAGCACAAAATGCCCATTGGAGAAGCACTCCCAAACACAGCCTGACATAATTATTATAAGTTTCCATTTAATTCTTTTTTAATTTTGCTTATTGAATTGCAGGGCCATATGTACTTGTTTGTTAATCATATTTGCTTTTATTCAAACATTTTTGGGTTTGAGACAAAGGTATGTTTACAAGTGTTTTCTTTATTTTTGTTATCTTGGAATTCTTATTAGATTTAAATTCTTTCCCAGAAAAATGATATAATGCTCCTTGAATGTGAATAATTTTATTTTTCAGTTTTGTCATTCTCATTGCTCTACCATAATAGTGTATAAGTTCATGAAGAAATTTCAACTCAATTTTCGTGGAGTTGATTTTGACTTGAATTATACACTTGAGACTTCAGCATAAGCATTTTCTTTTTCATCTTCCTTTTAAACCAATCATTAGGATAGCAATTTGTTCATTGAATGTCTGGTTAAAGACCTAAAAGACCAGAGGTGGCTCTTGGATCCTCATTGATTGGAGAATTTCGGTGGAACCTGGTTCTTCCTATGGCAGAGGTGGCTCTTGGATTGTTCTTATAGTTAATAATCTAAAGGCAAGAAGATATTAGATGGCTGTTAGATTTTTGCCATCAATAATAGAAGGATTTCGTTAACATATGAAAGTGGATATTTTTTAGTCAGAGGATAAGAAAACCTTGATGAATAAAATATCTTTCCAAACAGAAACAATGAATAGAAAATGACATATATTATATATCAGCTTTTTTTTATCAGAAAAAGTAGATTTATTTTATTACATTAAATTGGAAAGTAGGAATGATTAATATAACTTTATTGATCGTAGTGTCAATCCCTTTATATTGATTGATCATAGTGTTTTCCTTTTGATGTAAATAGTGGATAAGGTAGAGAAAATCCATAGGGGTTTCCTATGGAAACAAAGGATGGATATTGGAGTTTCAGATTGTTAAATGTGTTGAGTTGGGCCTAGTTGTTTTTTGTTCTTATCTTAAGCTATTTAGTTAGGAAGTTGTTGGGCTTTAGGCCCATTAGTTTATGTTTTTAAGTTGTGACTGTTCAGCTACATTAGTAG